CAGCATCTTTTTTTCTAAGTTTGGCCATCTCTTTATCCTTGCAATTTAAGTTCTTCAAGTCATCAATCAATCCTTTCATTTATGTGATAGGCCTGCATTTAAAATGAATATTTATCATAAATTAAAGGTATCTTATATTATTAGATATATTATTATAAAACATGCTTTAGTTAAGGAGTTATTGATACTTTAAGTGCAAAATGATGATATAAAACCATGATAAAAATACACTTTTAAGTATTAATCAATAGCTAACCAATTCATGCATTGTCTAAGTGAAGAACATATAGATGTCGTAGTTAGAATACTTCGTTACTTGAAATCAGCTTCTGAAAAGGGGCTTTTATTTTTTGAAAATGGTTATCTAGAGGTTGAGGGGTATACAGATTATGACCAGGCAGGAAGCATATCTGATAGAAAATCTATGTTTGGACCTTCACTTTTATTAGTGGCAACTTAGTTATATAGAGGAGCAAGAAACAAAAGGTAATTGCCTTGTCAAGTGTAAAGGTTGAGTTTTGAGTGATGGTAAAGGACTCTGTGAACTGCTTTGGCTCAAAATATTATTGTCATAAATTGGTTTTGATCCCAAATCAAAAATGAACCTCTACTGTGATAATAAAGCTATCATTGAAACATCTCATAACCTTGTTAACATGATCGCATGAAACATATTAAAGTAGACAAACATTTTATTAAATAAAATATTAAAGAATGAGTTATTAAATTTTCATATGTTAGATCAGAGAATCAACTCCTGAATATCCTTACAAAAGCCATCTCCAGCAAAAACTTTTAAAGCTTATTTGACAAGATGGGCTTCAAAGAAATCTTTGCACCAACTTGAAGGGAAGTGTTGGCATTACCTATACATTAATTTAGTTGAGAGTTTATAGGAGATATTTTAGCAATTGATTTACTCTACATCTCTATAACTATATAAGTCCTATCTATGGCATAAATCCATATCTACCAAAAACTTAAAATAATGAATGAAATGAATACACATTTTAGATCTCTTTCTTTATTAACATTTTACACTACCATGACAACCAAATAACATCTTTCAAGATGACATCTTAATCCTCTTAGTAACCTCTTCATGACTACCCAATGCATGTCTTGAACAGACCTCTGGTTTGGTGTTGGAAGCTTTGTTTTTCTTTTTTTTTTTTTAAATTTTATCTCTCCTTCTAAATTTTCATGCCTAACTCTTCAAATTTTTAAAATTGCCCCTTAATTTTTTTGGTCTTTGGATTTAATCCCAGTTCTTTTAGTTTCTAATTTTTTTTCTTAGTCCTTTTGTAATAGTTTCTAATTTTTTTTCTTAATCCTTTTGTAAAGTTTAATTTTTTTTTTTCAATTTCATCATTCAAGTTTAATTTTTTTTTTCAATTTCATCATTCAATCCTAATATATCATTTTTTTTTTTTTATACTATAATCCTCATTCTTCTGATTTTTCTTCTTAACTCCTTTGTAAAAATTTTATTGGTTTTTAATTTCATCTCTTAATCCAAATTTATAGTGTATTATTATTTTTAATTTAATCCTTATTCTTTTAAAGTTTTTTGTTAAAGTTTTTTTTTCTTTTTTGATTTCACCCTTCAACCAAAAATCTTTTTATTACCCTTTAATTTATTTTTTATTTTTATTTTTATCCTTATTCTTCTAATTGCTAGTTTTTTATCCTTTTATAAATGTTTTTTTCAATTTCATCCTTAACTCTTTGATTTATCAGAAATTGAGTTTTGTGGTTATTTTTATGTATGATGCTTTCAATCTAATGACATAGGTCATTAATTTAAAAGGCTAATACAGGTTTACATCCGTTTTTTGGTTTATTTTCTTTTTGAATTTCATTGTTTGATTTTTTTAAAAAAATAGTAGTTTTGTAATATTCTTTAATTTCTTTTCTACGTATTATCTCAATCTCATAGAATAGGTCATATGTTTTGCAAATTAATCTAGATTAACTTATTTTTAATTATCCAAGTTAAATGTTTATTACGCTACTTAAGTTGACTTAAGTTAACTTTTTTATTAAGTTTTTTATACTTACAAATGTTTTATTTTTCAAGTTACATGTGGTCATTACTTTTAAATAAAACATATGTTACATCATAAATAACAAAACTCTTGAATCATAAGTTATATTTGATATATATTGACAATCTTGAAGAAAAAAATATTGAAAGAGTAAGATTTTAGGATGATGAGTTAATGACATAAAAAATCAAAGATGAAGGGCTAAAAATGTTTGATAAGATTGCAACAAATTAAAGATAATATTGAATTCTAATAAAAATAAAATAAATAAAATCATAAAAAGTCAAATAACATGTATTTGTGGAATCTAAGTAAAAGAAAAAAGAATAGGAAATTTGTCCTTTGAAGCTAAAAGAATATTCTATCATGGGCTTTGTAAAATTTTAATAGTGTTTATATTGGAATATTCTATGCTTTGTAAAATTTTAATAGTGTTTATATTTGTGGTGTTTTAACATTTGAATGCACTATAAAATTTTAAAATTTGATAAAAATACTGGTAAAATTGATGGGAACAAAAATAATAACATGTGGTTAGCAAAAAAAAAAGAGTATTGAATATAGCTTTTTCACCTTAAAATCACCTAATACTTTTTTTATTAAAATATTATTTTTTTTAAATATCAACTTTAGTCATAATTATAATTAAATACATATATAAATCAAATCAATAATAATTAAAAAATATTTTTTAATTTTTTTAAACTATAATCATAAAAACAAACATATTAACGTGTTTTAAATTAAATTATATTAGCGATTATTGTTTAAAGTATTTTTTTTATTTAGAAATGTATTAAAATTATAAAAAAAATTATTTTTTTAAATTATTTTTAAAATCAACACGTCAAAATAATTTAAAATTTTAAAATAATAATTTTTAATAAAATAATTAAAAATTAAAATAACATGGTTTTAAACCATGTTTATATATAAGTATTTAAAAAAGTATTAAAATAATATCTTTTTTATTTATTAAAAATTATTTTTAATAGTAATATATTAAAATATTTAAAATGTAAAAAAAATATTAATTTAAAATTAATTAATTAATTAAATTTTTTAAAACACAGAAACGCTGCGATATAAAAGCAAACTAAAACCCTAACACTAAAACTTCACTACTTGATCTTATCTGAGCAGGGATCTGAACTCTCAATCAAGCCAAAACCCTCTCTCTCTTCTTGGAGCCACCCTCCATGTCGGCATGTCTGCTGGCGGCTCCGCCATTGAGCAAAGAGGGGGAGAGATTTGGTCTTTGGTCATTTTCGAGGTTCGATTTCGGCGATGAAGACGGCCTGCGGTCAGAGTCCGATCTTTGTTCTCCGATCGGGCAGTGATGGCTTCGCGGGCTAACCCCCAACCATCAAAAGTTTGTTTTTATACCTTTTCTTAGATAACTATTCTTGATTGATTTTTTTTCCCTTTCCCCCCCTTTTTTGACACTGTTGCTCTACATCCTGTATCATGTATAAAATATAGAAACAAAGTTATTTAAAATAAAGGTTTTTTTTTTTGCTTTTGCTGCCCTTTGTTATTGATTCTTTTTTTTTTTTCAAATTCAAGCATGTATGTATTGGAATTCAATTCATTTTGGAGTCCTGTAATCTATTGTGTTTGTTTTTGTCCAAAGCAGTGTGGCTCTGCTGGTCGTTGCTCAACATCATTTGCAGGTAGTTGTTTCAGTGATTCTCTATGTTCAAATTTTCTATATTGGGCTGTGGAAAAAAACCGTGGGTTTAAAGTGTGATTAACTAATGCCGACACGTTCGTACAGACATTGAAGCTCAGCATTCCCGTGGTATGTAGGTGTGTTCTATTGGTGAAAAACAAATTTCCTTCGCTATCTTGCAAACCATGTCTGTTAAAGATGGGAGGGGAGAATACATGGCTATGATGGAATGTGAAAACCTGCGTAGTTGCAATTATGTAGCAACTGAGGAATGAAATCATCCACCTTTTATATTATGACATGTTTTTCAAACTATTAAAATCATTTAAGCAAGAAGGTTAGGATATTAATACTGGCAAATTATAAGGTAGATTGTGTTTGTTAATAAATCACTATGGTTGAATTGATTAATTGACTTTGCTAGCTCTAAGTCCTAGGTTAGTTGTGACTTGGACTTTTAGATTTTGCCTGTATGATGTTGCTATATCTTGTAATAGGATATGAGATTATACATTTACGATGTTAATATATTACTTGTGAAGATAATTTTTATATAGATTTGATGAATCGATTTATTAATAGTCTTGGTCAATAAAGATAGGACAAATAACAATTTCAATCGTCTTAGCTGGTGATTGGGAGTGACATGTTTTTTGTCTTCATGCTTTTTATTAGTTTCGTTTATGGATTAATTAGTAGATTAAGTTTATACAATAATTTGTTAAGTGTTATGAACTCATAATTTGACCTAAAGTAGTTGGTGATAATAAGGTAATTGTTTTATTTATTGAGATTGACTTGTTTAGTTCTTGCATGTATTATATTGAGTTATAAAAGATTATGACAAACTCAATTTGATTAATGTTGGCTATTAAAGATGGGTAAAAGAAATCGGGGTGTCTTATCTCTCTAATGTTTTAAAGGTATTGAAAAAATTTCAGAAGTTTTGAACTATACATGCCTTTTAGTTCCTTATGAAGGCATAGAAAAAGGCATCAAGTAAGCCTATACATTCGGAAATGGCATTAAGTTGAGGTGTCATTTTCACTATTGATATTTCTTAAATATTCACTATGATGAATTCCTGTTGGCCTGTTATAGTGTTGATATAGAAGATATATCAACATGTATACGTCAGTAGGTATGCTAACATGGTGTCAATAAGTCAACATGTTGTTTGTCATATTGATATTTATGCTGACATGGTAGTATATTTATTGATGTTGGTAATCAAAATGTTGTCTTGTTGATCCCTATGTTGGTAAAACTACAAACATCGACCCCTTTGCATTGACACTATGGTAGTGTTTGTTTAAAAGGTTGCGATTGTGTTTTATTTAAAATGCAGATACAACATGTTCGGTAAAGAAAAAAATATGGTTTATTGTTCATGAATCCCATAATGTTTTTCGTTCGAAACGTTGGGGAAAGAAAAGCAAGTAATTGCTACTTCTTGCGTGCTATTCACTGAACAGTAATTAGTATAGTGTAATTAGTATGAACAATATAGCATTATATTACTCATTGAATAGAATTAGTATAGTGTAATTAGTATGAACAATATAGCATTACATTACTTATTGAATAGTGTAGCATACTACACTGTTCATGTTCATGTTAATTGTATTATTCATTTAATAGTGTAATTAACATGAATAGTGTAGCTAGTTCTATTGTTCTGAATAGTGTAGCTAGTTCTATTGTTCTGGACGGACCGGTTTTGGTCGGATTGAATCCGATTCAAAGCTCAACATGCATTGAACTAGGTTTGATTTAGTAAAATAATTATTTATTTATTTTTTAATTGTGTTTATTTAAAAAATTAATATTTAATATTATTTAGTAATATTATATAAATTAGATGGAGATATGATAGAATATTTATAGAATTTGATAGTAGTTAATGGATAAACATATGAACTTGTCATGTCAGCACATCTATATAGTCTTGTTAATCATTATATTGGTATAATTGTTGAAATGGACTTGTTGACGTGACTTTACATCAACACCATCTCTTTCGGGGCATGCTTTATGCGGTTGATTGGTGAAAAATAAATTGTCTTCATTGTCCCATGTTCACTGATGTGGAAGTGGAGGACATTTGTCTGAGATGAATTTGAAGATTTGCTTACTGTTGCTTGTTGATAAATAAAATTTATGCAATAATTTCTATATACGAGCAATGTAAAAGTTGTCTACAAGTAGTATTTGAATATTAGAGAATTATTTGCATTTGCTATATATGGTCGAGATGTGTAAGTTGTAACACATGTCCGATGTTAATTAAGCATGACGTTAACGGTAAACCTTAAAAAACACAACCAAATCAGAAAAATTAACAAATTAATAGATTCTTCTGAAAATTTTAATAGGCTGACTTGAAAATCTAGGAGAAAGAAAATAGCCACCGGTAGTTCGCCAAACTTCAAAGAATAGTGGAATATGCACCACCCTAATGCCACCAATGAAGGTAGCTTTTGGTGGCTGGCTGGCCCCTTATATGTCTATAGTTATTAAATTCAATTCAGAGGATTCCGGGGTTAACTTTGAAAAAAATTATATATAATTATTTAATATTGAAAAATTAAGAAATATTCTATATATATATATATATATATATATATATATAAAGTGATATATGTGAATAAAGGGGTGTGTGTATTTTGATCTACGACTCTTTGTTGTATTCAAGGGAGAGAGCAGTCATTAAAACTCATCTTAGAACATCTTGAAAGATGCTATTTTAAAAAGTTAAATTAATAAAATAGTATTTTAAATAGTGTAAATATAGTTTTTTTTATTATATGTATTTTAATAAAAAAAATTATTTAAAAAGTCAATTCTATTAGAGTAGAATAAATAAGTATTTTATTTTTTAAATAATTTTGATGTTATTTTTTTTACATGGTTAGATTTAATTGATTTATTTTTCTATTGGCTTTATTTTGGTAGTTTTAGTTCTTTTAAGAGATATATAAAAATGATATTTATGAAAAAGAAAAGATATTTTAATATTTTATTTTGCTTTTCTTTTAAAATATAAAAAACAAATAAAAAAATTAAAATATTCATTTTTTTATTTTTAATTATTCAGTAAGCTTTGCACGTACTCTTATAATTGTTAAAGGCAAAAGAACACACAATAGGCTGCCTGCATTAGCAAAGAGGTTGGCAAAGGTCTGATCAAATTTCTGTGCACCTGGGAAACCATGCATTGTAGAAAAGATGCCTTATAATGTTTCTGTACTGTTGATGTTCTTTCATCATGCTTTTCTTAGCTGTGTCCAGCTGATGAACCTTATTGCTTTAATCCTGCAATTCTATTTTAAATAGAGATGACTTTCTGAACTTTACAGCTTTTACATGTCGTTAACAACAAAACTTATTAAGCTGAACCGATCATTTCCAAATTTTTTAGATATTCGTGCAGAGATGCATCAAATCATGACAGAAGACTTCATCTATCAATCTCTGTGTGCACTGTTGAATGCAGTTTTCTTAGATTTTTTTTTAAATTGGCAAATTAATACAGTTTTAATAAAAAAAATAGGGAAATATTATAATTTGGTATATGTTTCTATTAAAAAATACAATATTTAAAGTTGTTGCAGATGAGAAAAATAACATTTCAAAAGATTATTAAATGGAAAGCACAAATTACAATGAGAATGAAGAAGAGAGATACAAAAATAACATGATTTTGAAAACATTAAAATTCACAGCAATGGGAAAAGATATGCCACAAGGGTCACTAATGATTATTCAGCACACAGCTTGCTTGCTTTTGAATGGAGTAATCTAACTTTGATAACTGTTAATGACATTTCTTATACTGTTAAATTTGTTTTGATGATATTTTTTAAGGATCCTTTTAATGTTATAATTTGAGTTTCATGGTATGACTTTATAACCTTGTTTTCTTGTTGTTTTCTTTCTTTCTTCTCTCCTTATAGTAACTTGTATAATTTTTTTACCCAATAATTTTTAAAATCACATTTCTTTTCAGCAATAACTTTAAATATCATATTTTGTAATTGTAACATGTATAGATTATGTTATTTCACTATTTAAAAAAAAACAAGGTGTTATTTTTATAAGTTTATAAAAATCATTTTAAATAAGCCAAAATATTCATTTTATTCACATGGATTTATGTAAAGAATCCACCAATTTTTTTTCTTTTTTATCTTTTCAATTTGTTAATCCCTTTTAATCTTCTATATATAGGGCAATTGATGAGTGACTTGTAAATATGTTTGACATTCAACTTTCTTTGATGAAATGTGTCACTATGATCTAGATAGTTGATTTGTCTATTTTTTACTTTCTTTTCAATTTGTTAATCCCTTTTAATCTTCTATATATAGGGCAATTGATGAGTGACTTGTACATATGTTTGATATTCAACTTTCTTTGATGAAATGTGTCACTATGATCTAGATAGTTGATTTGTCTATTTTTTACTTTCTTTTCAATTTGTTAATCCCTTTTAATCTTCTATATATAGGGCAATTGATGAGTGACTTGTAAATATGTTTGACATTCAACTTTCTTTGATGAAATGTGTCGCTATGATCTAGATAGTTGATTTGTCTATTTTTTTTATATTAAAAATGAGCAAAAAACTTGAAAAACCGAGAAAATAAAAAAAATTAATTAAAAAAATCAAATCGAGAAAAAAAAACTTAACCGATTAGAAAACTCAATCGAGAAAAAAAACTTAACCGATTAGAAAACTCAAAAAAAAAATTTCAGTTCAATTTAATTTTAATTTTAAATGTCTAAAATTGATTGGACCGGAATAAACTAAACCAATTCAATCACATAACTAACTATAAAAGAAATAGTATAAATAGTTGCCAACCTAAACCCTAAAGCAACACACACTTACAGCTAGCCCCCTCTCTTTGCCTTCCTACATCTTACTTCTTTATCACAATCACTTCAGCCATCCCTCACCCCTCATTTTTTTTTATCTTTGCCCCCATGCATCTTGTTTCTCCATCACATTCTCTCCTCTCCCTAGTAACAAATCCATGAACTTCAACCGCCCCTCACCCTTTATTTTTTTCTTTTTGCCTCCTTGCACCTTATCTCTCCATCACATTCTCTTCTCTCCCTGGTAATAAGACTTCACCTTTTACTATGGACAACATAAATATTTGATAGAAGTGCAAAATTTGAGCCCTGATTTGGATCCAACTCGCTCATTATGGACAGATCTGTTTTCCTTGCCATCTTGATTAATCTTTAGTGTCTATTTTTCTTAATATTTTGTGGATTTTTGCTTTTTTTCATTATGTTGGAATTTGCTGGAATTTGCGACTTCGGTTGTAAACTGGAACAAGTTCTTAAAGAACAAAAACCTGATTCGATTCTCAGTTTTACCTGTTTTTGAATAATAAAAACCGAACCGAACAGAAATCAGTCAGTTTGAATTGATTTCAGTTTTAAATTTTAAAAAATAATAATTTTAGTTTGGTTAATTTTTTCAAGTAAAAATCAAACCAAACTAAAAATAATCACCTTGCTTTACATTCTCTACAGAGACAATGTTTAGCTAAGTGATCAAATCAAATGCTACAAGTATGAAAAACACACCAAAATCAAATTTCAAATAAAGGAAAACACATGTATAATCATTACCTTTAGAAATGGAATTGTCCAAAATGGAAGATAGAGATATCAATATTTTATTCGTTCCTTTTACCTAATTCATGTTACCACAGTTCTCTTGATCCATAGCTTAATTGATATACAAGAAAATTACATGCTTTGGCAATAAGGATAGGCTTATGGGTTTTTTTTTCTTTTTTCTTTTTTTATGTTTAGGGAAGGGTGTTAGAATAGAATGGCGGATGATGAATTCTAGGTATTCCTTCATTAGGGAAGGGTATTAGAATAGAATGGTGGATGATGAATTCTAGGTATTCCTTCATTGTCGTTAGTTTTAAGACTAGATTGATAGCTCATGTTATGTTGTAAGTTAGGTTAGATTTTCCATAACATAAAAAAAGATGTTCAAAAAATAATAATTTGAATTAATACGAATTAATTTTATTAACATGTGATTCAGGATATGAGATCAATATTTATAAATCTCAAGGCCCAATAATTTAATATCGAATGATAAAATTGAAATTTTTTTTAAAAAAAAGTAACATTGAAGAAAAAAGCAACCTATCATGTGACATAAGATTGAGATTAAAAAAACATATATTTTTAGAAAAATAACCTAGTAAAAAAGAACAAAATTAAATATAAAACACAGGAAACAATAATTTAACCAAGGTTAACTTGACTAACCCTAATTTGGGATAACCTTACAATAAAAATAAAAATGAAAGAATCATATAGCTTGAGGGCTAATCATTTAATGTCAAATAATAAGGCTGGAAAAAAAATCAACTTCATAAAAAAAATCAAGAATAAAAAATTCAAGTCAACTTTGGTTAACTCGACTAATTCACTACTCGAGATATAAAAATGGGATAAACTCATAAAAAAAAAAGTAAAACAAATAATGAAACTCAAGGTCTAAATGATCTAATATCAAACGATAATATTCAAAAACAATTAACAAAAGATCTAAAAAAAGACATAGATAATATTTGAAATCAGTATCCCAGGTTATAAGATCAGAATTGCCTTATAAAAAGATAGACATAGAAAAAATTACAAAATAAAATTTTCAATCATAAAAAAAATTTAAAAGCAAAACAAATAGTAATCAAAATAATAATAACCAAATATGGTATGAAAATCATATGAAAGAAAATCATTAGGGATTAAATTGAAAAAAAAAATAAATTAATAAAAATAAAAAAAATAAAAGAATGAGGATAAATTTTTGATAAAAATATTAAATGAAATTAAAAATAAAAAATAAATAAAAGAATGAGGATAAAATTTTGATAAAAATATTAAATGAAATTAAATGTTGAGGTAAAAAATTGAAAAAATAAATAAATCAAGAAAGTGATAAACAAAAACAATTAAAAGAACGAGAACCAAAATTGAATAAAAAATTAAAAGAATAAATGATGAGGGATGAAATAGAAAAAAATATTAAAAAAAAGTACAACACAAAAAAAAACAATAAAAAGATTAAGGATCAAATTAGATACAAAAACTAAATGAAATAAAATGTATAAAGATGAAATTGAAAAAAAATTCAAAAAATAGTAAAAAAAAAATAAATAATATTCAAAAGAAAAGGAACTAAAATTGACAAAAATAGAAACAAGAGAATACTGTCAATTTTTTAGAAGGGCTGACATGAATTTTCAGGGTAAGAGAGACAAAATAAAAAAGACAAGAGAAAAGATCACTAGAACCGAACTACACATCTACCATGAACATCACCAACAATAATAAAACACCACACTACTCCAAAAATTATCCCAAGTGGATGATTTTGGTAACTGGTTGGCCTCGTTTGTATTGCTTGAAGGGTGTGGAGATCATCATATAATAACATGTGCACGCATCAACAATATATTTTTAATAATATTAAAATTTTTAAAATTTAGCAATATTTTTTTAATAATATTAAAATTTTCAAAATTACCAAACAATCCGTAGGTCAACCTAAAAATAACAAAAAGAAAATATGAGGAAAAAGAAAAAGAAACCAAACTTATATTTTTTATTTTATTTTAAAAGCAATTCTATCACCTCACTATTCTAAAAAAAAAAAAAGATTAAAAGGCCCTCTTGTGCAAGTTTAATGGGATTTTTATTTTTTTTCACTTTTAAGGATACCAATATAATTTTATTATACAAATAATTTTGAAAAGATAAAAAAAAATACATAAATCAAAGTTATACATTGTTTTGCTTTTAAAATCAACAAAGTCATTTCACCGAGATAAAATAAAATTATGTGGACTAATTTATCTTTAATTAATTTTTAATGTTCATTGAATCTTAGACAAAAGCATAATTACATTGTTTTATTGAAAAATCTAATATGTCTTTGGTCATAATATTTTAATAATAATATTTTAGTAGTGACTTTTACTCCTTTTTTTTTTTATATATATCGTTACCTAAAAAATTCTTTTTTTATATATATCGTTACCTAAAAAAATAATAGATCAAGAAAAACATACAAGTATAATTTTTAAAAAATTCTCAGGTGCATTAGACTAGTACATGCCAATACTAAACATGTTTAAGTGAAGATGTGCTTGGTCTGGTGCTGGTTAGACTTAAAAGATGATCGAGTCTAACATTATAAATTTTATAAAATTTTACATAAAATAATAGGGAAATTATTTCTCAACAAATATGATTAATTAAACAAGTTTATGCTCCACCAACACTATTACATGTTTTAAAGTTTAATATAGACTGCCTCTTCATCTTTTAGCCAAATAAAACGAGTGAAATATAACTCAAAATGTCATAAATATTAAGTTACACTCTTGTTCTTCAAAAAATAACAAAACTTATATAATATAAATACACCATGAATCTTTTAATATAAATATTCACAATCTTTATTCTCTATTATACATATTATTATACTTTTTCTAAAAAAATATTTAATTATTAATAAGTTCTTAACTCTATCCAAAAGAATTTTTTACAAATACTAGTTATAAATATCTTAACTACAAAACAACATTTACAAGCTATCAACCATCTCCTAAGTTAAGGATAATAAATGATATTATTAAAATTAATTAATTAACTAATTATCCCATGCAAGAATCCTGTTTCTAAGGAGGTTACTTTGTTTTTCAAGACATGCATCACATGGCCACCGGTTCCAGCTGTAGAATAAGATGTAAAGCAAGCCTAGGGAACTCAATTGAGACACCATGATAGATAGGACGTAAATTTGTCCCACATTTTATCCAAAACAGCATTCTCTTCTCATTATGGTTTTACAAAATATGTTCTTCCAAGGACGCTGATGAGCAACGTGTTTACATGAGGCTAGAAAGTAACCACCAGACCAAATCATGGAGAGCGCACCGAGTTTCCTGGGAGACCGGTGGCTTTAGCGAGTTGAAGACAGCACGCTCCTATACTTTTGAAGGGGCATGCATTGATATAGATAGACACTCAACACAAAACAAGAAAAGAAGAAAAGGGTCAAAAAGATGTAGATGCGCACCATCACCATATGTTCAAGCCCACCTGCTTGCAGCAAAAATTTGTCCATAGATGTAACTGGCAACCTTGGCACAAACATTGATCAATTTACATGAATTTCACCTCTTGCATGCACATTCCCGATGGCAGCAACCAACAAGCTACCGTGTCTGATACTCGCACTTCACTCCAGTTCAGCACCAACATAGCCATGCAAGCGGACTCTGATCGGCTCATTTCGATTGTCCAAATCATTGCATGCTAATGCAATCCATGACGCTTGAGACTTCCATCACTAGGGGGGCCATGCTAATAAAGTCTTTAAAATAGTATGCAATATTGCTTAATAATAACTTGAAAAATGAAAATCAATGTAAGAAAGGACCTCCATGGATTGCCATAACTGATGAGAGATGGCCCAATATTTCAATTCGCCACGGCACATGTATAAATAACAAAAACATGCAAGGGTTCTTACCAATGTCATGAAAAATGAACCCAAGCACGTTGAGAAAGGCATCATGAATAACTCATCAAACATCTAAATCTTCAAATCTACTTGCAAGTAAATTACATACACAAGCTACTCTATGGACCTTTTCTGTCACGCTGGTTTTTGGCTAGAAGATGAACCAATCCTCTGGAGCACCTTGGTGTTGAGAAGTTCTTTACCAGACTTCCCCTTGAACATAAAGTGCCTTCTAAGACGACTTGTTATTGAAGAGCCATTGTCATTCCGTCGTGACACTGCCTGAGGCCAGTTTCTCCTCAATCTGTCCTTGATATGATGAGAGGCTTCCATATTACTGTGACTACCCTGGACCTCAGATATCACCATCCCCCTGCTTCTCCGTACGGATCTTAGGGCCATCTGCAAGGGCTCTGAAACTAGTGGGGACTCTTCAATTGATCCTATAGTTTTCAAGCACAAGGGGCAAGGAGGGTCATGAATCTGGGTCTTCGGAGTGACTTGTTCCAAACATTCAGCATGGAAAACATGGCTACAGGGTAATACCCCAGCAGTTGGCATGTCACCACCTCTCATGATTCGATGTGAACTCCAGGGGGACTTTTGCCACATAAGTTTTCCACAGACTCCACATTTTTGTTCCACTACAGGACCACTAGGTGACCTCAGACTCTCCATATCCATGTGCTCTGCTATGTCAAACCTTTCCCCATCAATTCCCAGATCATAACTGCTTGCACTGCTCCATCTAAAACCCTCTCTTCTAGAGCTTGCACTGGGGTCTGGTGAAATCTCCAACTTTTGAAGTTCAGTGAGGGTTTTATGGAACTTATACTCAACACTTGAACTGTTATCAGGCCAATGAGATGGTGATATCCGATCCTCACGCGATGTTAACCTACCAAGACTGCTGTTATCTGCATCCCCAAAGGTTTCACAATCTGACACAGGGTTGCGGAAAACTAGCGGGTAGACAGTTTTTGACATATACAAGCGCCGGGTTGGAATGTTGCGATTGGAGAAAGCATACGGCCGCTTGCTAGTTGATTCCCAATGGCTGGAGTCTGAAAGTGAGGATGGAGACCCAAAATCAGGGGATGTCACACTTGCTCTAACAGCAAATCTTCTCTGAAACATTAAAAAATCAGGGAAGGAAATGTCACTTAATAGAACCTTTTCAGCCAGTGCTAATAAAACCAAAGACTAGCAATAAAAGTCACCTCAGTGGAGCATGGAAACCAAGTGGGCTGGGATCTTGATCCTGGCAATTGAAAATATGTTAAAATGACAACCACGTAAAACAGAAGATAATAAACTCATCCAGATATCTAGCACAGAACCAGTAGATTAAGCAATACTGCTGGATTTTATTAAGAATGGGAGTGACATAGGACTAAAAAACAACTACCAAAAAGCTACAAGTTTTCCTAAACATGCACTTGCAGACATGCACGCATAGATGGACTCTAGATTTACATACCAAAGAAGCCTTAAATGAAACATTTATCTTGTGCAATCTTTAATCCACCAAGAAGAGATGAATTACTGATTTTACATACAAAAGAAGATTTTTCATATTCCTAATTTTACAGACAAAATAAGTCTTATATGAAAATTCTCTTGTGTGATCTAAATCCACCATCAATGAAGGTTAATACACAATTTCCCCTAATTATTTTCAATCACCTGATACTACATACAAAAGAAGCCTTATGAAAATTCTCTTGTGTGATCTAAATCCACCAGCAAAATATAGTCTTGGATTTTGCTTCTTTAAGTTTTTGTTTTCATGAATATACTACATGATATTCTCAATTTCCAGTCCATCATTTTTGGCTTATGCAAAGGCACATGTTTAATATATATGAAGCACTCGAGATAGTTATTGACCAACTGTGATTGCCATATTGAGCATAAAGAATGGAGGGTGATAGAAAGGCCTTGTTTCATTCTATGTAAAGTATATTACCCACACTACATCGCGAAGTACCAATTTTGAAAATGATATGATGAGTGACAAACCTAAAACTTACCCAAATTCCATGCAATAATTAGTACATGAGCTAATTATCTTGTCTACAAATTTCGAGTTCCTCTTTTTTTACTTCTTTCTTTCAGTTGAGTAAAATTGATAATTTACTTGACTGTAAATTATGATCAGAAGAGAAAGAAGTAAAATATACTAAAAAGAAAAAGAAGATGGGAACCATAAAGATCACAAGAGAAAATAAGATGGGAACCATAAAGATCGCAAGAGTTCATATGAAGCTCAAAAGCATATTTAATAATCATTAACCAATGACTAGCTTGAAAAGGAGCTGCAAGGAGTACAAAACTGCAAAGCTGGTGGATTTATAGATATTGACAATTTCTCATTATGATGATTGCAATATTTTCCTGGTTTCCACTCTAAGGTGCGTTTTCTGTATAATCTTGCATTATTTTCAGCAACATGCACAGGATGCTAACATCGTACTCAACGTAGTTTCCATCCCAATATTCATTCTAGATATCAGCAATCTTCTTGACATTCATAGACATTGTTGATTTTTCTCCATCATTACAAGTATAACTGTCCAAACCTTGCAGTAATAAGACAAACAAGAGAATGGAAACCCTGCAGGAAAAGATAGGTAACCTAAAAACAGAATTGGACAGGACACAGCCTCTGATAAATTTTCCAGAAAACAAACAGAACATTCAGCACATTTTCAGCACACGAGAACAAATGGCATTCAAATGAGAAATGACCTAATCAATGCAGATCTTTTAAGTAATTAGGATATTCTGTTAGTTTATACTTGATTCACCAAATATAATAATTAAAATTACAATTACCTATTCTTAGCTGGCTAATGTCAGAAAATCTTTCAATTGTGATTTTAAGAATCCCTTAAATGATGGAAAAGGTGAGAAACAGCTTGACCACATACACAAATATATGAAAAGGAACAAGAGAAAAAACTCATATCACACAGTTCCATCAATATACAGAACCTCTAAACAGGACTTGCCCTTGTCATGACAGGTATATTAATAGACAAAAAATCAGATCACCATGAATCTAATATTAGAGAATGATTATATTAAGATTACCTCCAGCAATAGAGGCAGCAGGCTCACCAAGATTAAATTTCCGCACAGGTGATGTCCATCGAGGCTCCTGAACAATACCAGGTGGGCTGTCAGAATAAGGGAGTGCACCATCAGACACAGAATGATGATGGTTGGTATACTGTTCACTTCCCACCCAGCTTCTGCTTCCCCTACTATTTGAGGACAATGAAGAACCATGAACTGCACGAGCACCATGTGATAAACCATCTGACCGTAACCTGCAATCCCACATCCTCAATGGAGGAGGTGAGAAACTAGAGTTCATTTGCCAAAGTGGTTCACCATGATTGTTGGAAGAGTCCCTACCAGTGGCAGGTGACTTCGCTTCATGTGGCCCAGCGGCCACACAACAAAGCGCACCCGTGTTAGCTATTTCTATTGGCACAGCAAGGTTGTTTTGTGATCCAGTTAAATATACTTATGGGCGAATGAAGGTCCACATGGCCAAAGTTAGATACTAAGTTGGATACAATGGCAAAACTAGCTCTAAATATTGCAAAAAAGCATCACAGTATAAGATGAAGACAGAAATCATTGAAGGCAGCAGCCACCCAGTATACTGAACTCTTCATAGGAGGCATATCAAATTTCCATTCTAAATCGATTTATTATCCAAGAGTGATTCTTCAAAACTTCAGCATGCTTTAGCAAACTGCTGAACAAATATGATACTTTCCAAAACCAAGCTTCACCTGAAGCCTGGCCTTCTCCACTGCATTTATCCAATTGCACCAGTTTAACATCTGAACTAATATAATAGGTTCAAGAACAAAATAATCATCACGCATATTCTACAATGATAGAGAAACAACATTCATAACGAGGATCTAAAATAAATAAACTTTGAATACAAGTGTAAAGGACACAATAAAAAGCAAATTACTCGAGCCAGAGAAAACTACTGGTAGAACACTAGTCAATGACATCAACAACGAAAAATTGGGTTTCTTTATTTCTGGAATTAACTTAAATGTAAACTTAATTTGAAAGTACCCTTGAAAAACTTCACCTCATATTGAATTTATTTTTTGTCAATTCAACTTTTCACGCCATGCAAACATTTTTTAAGTTTTTCCAGATTTCATTCAAATACTCTTCAGAAGGGTAAATGACTACAAAGCCGGATCTATAAATAACGCATTGTAAAGGCCACTAGACAAAATCATAGTAAAATACTAGACACCATGACAACCATTCCATGATAACTAAAGGGACCTTTTAACATGAAAGAGGGCAGAAAACAGACCGGTAAAATTATGTCCAAATACAAAATCATATTTTCAGCTTATAAGCAAAAATGATATCCCTTTACATCATCCAAACTTAACAAATAGTGCCTAAATAATTACCTTCTATTTGCAGCAAAAGGAATAATAATAGAGAAGATGACACCATAACAGCCTCACACAAATCAAATCAAATCTTCCAAGCATTTAATTCTAACCAAAACTAAACTTGACCCCCACCCCCCCAAAAAAAATGATATTTCTACGCTTAAAAAAAATGGCAAAATCAAGCATTAATTAAAACAACCCAATTAACATGAAAATAAGTAACGCACACCCAGATAAAAAATAAGCCCACCAGTCCTTTTCATATTTCCAACAAAAATGAAAAAGAAAAAAATCAGAAAAACAAAACAAAAGAACACCATTTAGGCATTTACATATAATAAAACAAGGGTCAAGAAACAAAGTACCTCAAAATGCCGAAAAGAAACAAGTTTGATGAAAGAAATGAAGACAAGAAACAAAAAAGAAACCCTAAGGGTTTTGAGTCTTTGATAATAGGAGAGCAATGAGGTTGTTCGTATAAAATATTCACTTTGTGGTGAAATGAGACAAAAGGGAAAGCAAAAGGTTGGAGCTTTGAAATGGATAGGCATAACAATCTTTCTATGCTATCTTTTTCCTTCGTCGATTACTACGATATAAAATAAAATATAAATACTTTGTACATGAGATTATTTACTAATGATAATTATTAATTAATATTGGTGGGGTGGTTTTTTTTTTTTTTTTGAGAAAATAGTGTCTGTAAATTCTTGTCTATTACAAGGTTGGATTTCGGACACGTGATGTCATGGAGTGTATGTAATTTATACAGTTGGAAGACTAAAGTAGATGAATCAGAAGAATCTCTGTACCGTCTCAGACACTTAAATTCCTTTGGTATCATCTCGTATGAGTAAACTATTGAACTCCCATTACTAATTTGGCCAGACTCTCATTCCTTCTTCTTCTTTTCTCTCTCTTATTTTTTTTTTATTCAATGTAAAAATTATTAAGCATAAAATAGGGTTTGCATTTGAATTTATGTGTTCATAACAAATTATTTCTTGTTATCTCCTTACAATTTGGATTTGTATGTGATGGCTTAGTATAAAAAAGGGTAAAATCATTGCAAACTAAATTAGTCTCAGAAGACTGCAATGCTAATTACATGTGTATGCATATAATATCATATGTCATCTATTTTCTTTCTAAAAATAAAGGTTAGTTATTTAATTTGTGTTTATCTAATATAGTATTTCTCTGATTTATCATTATATCTTTAATTAAAAAAATTATATTAAATTTATTATTTATTATTCATTTTTAGACTAATTTATAAAAACTAATTACTTGAATTAAATTGCACGTGATAATAAGTTTATACCTAAATATTAACTCGTGTAGATAAAGTACTATAGCTAAAGCTAAATTCAATGTTCCCTCTTTTGCGTTTTACAGTGAACTAGAATAGTGTATTGTTTTTCTTTTTGGTCTTCAAATTTTTTTATCCCACCTTTTTAAGGCTAAATTGGTGTCCAATTCCTTCCAATTTGTTAAGAAACGATACTTTTAAAAACCAAGGATAAAAAAACAAAGAAATTAGTTGGTAATTTAATACTTGGCAAGAAAAAAATTAACTTATTGCTCTTTCTTTCCAATTAAAAAAATTTATGATCCCTTTAGTTTTATAAAATTTAATTTTAATATAAAATTTATTTTTATCATTTTTCTATTCCTAGTTTAAGAGAGGAGAGAGAAAATTGTTGGTTGACATTACTTCTAACCACCAAAATAATCGTTTTTAATTTTAACAAGTTTTATTTAATAAAAAGAGCTTCAATAAGATGTTATTTTGTAATATTTCCAACAACAAAATATTAAAGATAATAAATTAATTTATTCTATTTATGTTTTTACTTTAATCCTTTAATATTCTTGTATAATTTTATTATTTGATGGTGAGACCTGTTTTGTTAAATTTGAACTAGGGTATATCAAATTTCATGATACTACATTTTAACATAATCCTTTCATTATTTATTCATTTCATCTATTTTAATTCATGTTTCTGTATTTTTAAATTTTCAAATATTTTTTATAATTTAATTTTTAAAAACCCATACACAAACCTTTTTTTCTCTCTAATCTATTATCTTCCCCCATAAGGTAAATATTCTACTTAATTAATTGGGATAATTTTTTTCCTCATTAATTTCTTATATTTTTTTTTATTCTAGGGTTTACATATTTCACCTTCAAATTGCCTAAGAAATTAGATTTGATCTTGGTAAGTTTTTGGATTTCGAGTTGATTTTTTTATTTTTAGATCACATTTGAAGTTATTTGATAAAGGCATAAACATGTTTATTTAATTTTTAGAGTGTTTTTAGTTGTTTTTCAGTCAAATTATAGTTAAAAAAAGATTTTCAGATGTAAAATATTTTTTACTTAACTTTTAGATAATAAAAAATAGTCAAGATTTGGGTAAAACAAGCAACATGTCATCTACCTTTTAAAAAATAAAAACAAATAAGACCCAGGTGCATGGGCTTAGGGTGGAGGGCTCTTGCACCTAGCCCTTTTTGTCAAGGCTACCTGGGTATATGAACCTAGATCATTTTTTTTGTACTTTAGATATTTTTTCAATTTCATCACCTAAGGTTTATTTAGAAAGAAAATTATTTGATTTTTTTAATTTTATCTTAAAAATATTTGATTTATTTTAGTTGGTCTTTCTTTTATTTATTTATTTTGTGTAGGTTCATCACAGTCTTAAATAAATATCTTATCATTTTGTTGGTATTTGATTTTATATGTCTTTTTTTTTAACTTACTAAATCAACTAAATCATATTGGATTAAATCTCCACAAAATTCATTTATTTTTATACTAGAAAATATGTTAATAGCACCATGCTCATAGCTCTAGCCAACAAACTATGAAGTTTCCTATTTTGTTAGCTCTAGCCAACAAACTATGAAGTTTCTAAATCATGTGCTTTTTACATGTAAATCATATAAGTTACTTTAGTGGATTAGCCTAAAAATCATGTAAAAAAAAAATAGATTATCAACTTAATATATGTTTAAGGATAAAATTGGTTCAATTAAAAATATAACAATAAATTAGAAACTTAATATGATATATGTTAGTTGGAACCATTAAGGATTCTTAAAAATAAATTGAAAAAGAATGTTGGGTTCACAATCATGTTCATTATTAAAATCAAAATAAAGAGGGAAAATTAATTAAGAAGACTATATCTATAATTGAAAGATTTTTTTAAATATTTGATTGAAAAGTAAAATGAGATAGCCTAGTGTTTAATTTGGTCAATAGCCGAGATGAGATTTTTTTCTTCCTAATATTATTAAGTTTAGATATCAAAGAGTTAAAGAGATGTATATTAATGAAATCCATTCTTCACAAATAGTTATATTTTTAATTTTAATAATGTTGTGGAACATTTGCAATAAAACCTGAGAAAAAAATAGAAAATTAAATTCAATATTGATGATAATGGTCATTACAAATAGAAATATCAATGGGTATTCATAGATTGAATTTCTTGATATTCATATTATTAGCGTCATACCTCTACATTTTATATATAAATCATTGTCCAATTATTAGAAACATATATTTAGATTTTATTCTCAATTAGCAAATGTTTAAGTTTTATTCTTGGGATATGGTCTCGTTTTTCATATATTATATACCTATTGTAACCATAAATGGAAAACATACAGAACATAAATGCTTTACTTTACATGGTATCAAAGCTTACTTTTTTGTATGTGTTCTTCAACATCACTTGTTATTTTTTTTTTAGCCATGTCCAATACCCCATCTCATAAAAGGCTCTTGTTTAACATCTTCATTAATTCTAGATATATCCCCTTTATATTTTCTTTATTCTACTGATCATTCAGATATCATCTTGGTCTTCATCCTTTTTAATAGTGATAACTATCCTACCTAGAAGTAGGTCATGAAAATGACATTGAATGCTGGAAATAAATTGAGTTTTATTAATGGTGCCTTCTCCAAACCAACATCCTTCATATAAAAAAATTTAATTATGAGAATGTTATAGTGACATGGTCTTGTTATGGATTCTTAACTCCATTAATAAATCTATTATTAATAGTTTGATTTATCATAATTATCCCTATAGTGTATGGCTTGATCTTGAGGTTTGTTTCTCTTAAAGTATAAATCCTAGAATTTTCAAATTGATGCGTGACATTGTTACTTTTATCTAAGGCTCTATGACCATCTCTTCATATTTTACCATACTCAAAGGCTATTAAAATGAACTTGTCATGCTCACTCCTACACCAAAATGCACTTATGATGTCCTAAAAAAATTAACCTATATGTAAAATATTGAATAGGTGTTTTAGTTTTTGATGGGATTATATGAGTTTTATGTTTTAATTCGTAGCTAGATTTTAGTCATATATCCTTTACCCTTTGTTACCAAAGTGTATGCGATTTTACATCAAAAGGAGAAGCAGCCTCCTTCATATCTCTTGTGTTTCAACAGAATCTGCTGCAATGGTAGTTCCTTGTCTCTTCTCTCATTGTTCTAATAATAAGGGAAGAAGATATAGTCGTTTAAATATAACTATTGTGATTGTGATGGTCATTAAAAATTCCACTACTACAAGACGCATGAGTATCCTAAAAACAAGCCTCAATATCGTGAAACATCTACTAGACAATTTGGTTCATTAATGATAATGGATAATGTTACTAGTCTTTCAACCTTTTCCAAGATTATTATTCTTGACCTCACTAGTAACCAATGCAATCGACTCTTGGATCATCTATGACCCTTAAATACAAACTCTGCCAACTTTGCTTGTAATCTTGACTCTTATCATTCTACTTCTTTCCCTAATTATGAATAGATTATCGATTTCAGTGCCTTAGATCATATAACTTTAAATTTGTTATCCTTTAATAATGTTCACCCCCTCCATCAACCATATCTGGTTAAATTTCTAAATAGTGATATTATTTCTATAACTCATATTTGCATATTGCATATTTTCCCTTGATATCTCTCTCTTTCTAATTTTCTATATGTGCCTTCATTTAAATTAATTTATTATCTATTAGCAAACTCACCATTACTCTATTTTCCTTACCTTTTGTGTTTTTCATAACCTATCAATGAGGAAGGTCATTGGAACTAGTGAAGTATAATATGGACTTTACCACTGCAAACCTTTCTTTGCCTCAGTTTTCCACCTTAAAATGTCCTAACTCTATTATTTGACATCAACAACTTGGTCACTCTTCTATTTTATATATTCCAAAAACTTTACATATTTTAATCAACATTTGGCTTGTGATATATTTGCTAGAGCAAAACATGCTAGTCTATCTTTTTTCTAATTAAAAAAACACATTTTATTTCAATTGAATTTATTGTGATATATAAGATGGTTATCCTACTACTTCACATCTAGGAGCATATTATTTTTTAATAATAATGGATGATTGAGCATATACGATATGGATCTATCTCATACCTAATTTATCTTTCTTTTTCACTTTGATCTTCTATCTTTCAATTTAATTTTTTTTTTTAAAAAAAGCAATTGAATACCAATATAGGCTCAAAAGGGCTTAATTGTATAAAAAATTTAATGATCAAATTAAAAATTAAGAAAAAATCATTATT